ATGGGTGGGTGCACCCCTTGCGGTCCTGACTTCCTTGCTCACGTTCTCCCTCCTTCTGCTCTTCATCTGGGCCTTGGGAGCTCAGTCCAGTGCTCCACTGTGGGTCTCTGTCTCTATCTCCGGAGGAGTAGAGGACTGGAAATAATCAAACTGAAGAAACATTCTTTAAAAGAAAGCTGTCTGTCTCTCCCTCCTCCAGAAGCCATCAACTATCCATAATCCCTCAGTTAGGTGTAGGGGCTCATGAGCATCTTTTCATTCCATGCTAGACTCCTGATGGCTTAATTCTGGGCAGGTCTCAGCAACCACAGCTCTTGTGAGCTAACGATCCAAACAGTTCTATCTCTATCGTGTGCAGATTACACTGTTTCACTCAGCCTCCATTGCACTAACCCCCAGATCTTGCAATCTTTATGCCTTCACTTCTGCAAGGGTTCCTGAGCCTTGAAGAGAGGATCTGATACAGATGTCCTATTCTGCCTGAGCTCCATTAACATCTCTACTCTGTGCTTTTACCAGTTGCTCCTGCATTAACCATCATTTGTTGAAAAATGATGTTGGAATCTGAGAGCTGCACTGATCCGTGGGTGGAGGTATATGAATTCAGAGGGCAGTTTGATTCTGATAAATGGAAATAGTTTTCAAATTCTATTTTATTTATGTTGCATAAGCTTACTCTTTACACAACAGCACGTTAAGCCAAAGGTGGCTTTCTGTTCTGATTTCATCCACTTAATCCCTCTTGTCCATATCTCAGAACCAAGAATACAGTGCAAAGACTTCGATGACATTTAATAAACATGGGCTAATGAGTCAGAAGAACCCATGGCCACCTGCTCCCTGGGTCTTAAGGGAGAAGAGGGGGTTTCAGCTGAATATGTGGTCATTTCCTTTTCTTTTAATTTCCCAAGCTCATCTTTGGGCTGTGCTCTCTGCTCCCCCGGGGTGACACAGCCGTGACAGACGGTGCTCTCGTGGCCAAGGAGCTCATTCGGAGACATAGCAAGGGCTCTAATTTTTCCTATAAAAGTCTTATAAATAACTTGTGCACATTTGGGCAGGAATGTTGTGACACAAGAGCAATAAACTATATTTTATAGATTTATCAGTTGAAAATCATATATATATAATGTATATATGTGTGTATACTCTTTTCATATATATCAGTGAATTATAAGTATTTCATTTAGAGATGGGTCTAAACAGAACATCAACAAATGTTGATGGCATTCTATAAGTTAACGATCTCTACTTGAAGGAGGAATAAACATTTACTAACCAGTAAATTAAAGATTTTAAAGCTCTCCATATTGAAAGGATTTTAACAACTTTAGATTTAAGCATCTCTGATAATCTAAGGATGGTATCTATAGCTACAAAAGGAGTAGGCTACCATTTATGGATCCATCAGCAAATGTATAGATGAAAAGAACGTCTTTGATAAATAAAGAGATAGAAAGGGGGTTATTCTTATCATTAAGAAAGCATCTAGTGTGTAGCTGAACAGGAACAGACAAGCTCCAAAAGTGAAGTTTAACACTAACAATGTGAAGTCCATCTTCAGTTTCCTGATCACATGACCCTTTCCTATCTTTGTATAGCAGAGTTATAAATTATATACATGTACAATATATATGTTCCTCAATTATAAATATAATTATATATTTATATATAAATTATATATATTATATAAAATCATACAAATTATATATATATTATATATATGGCCAAAGAAGGGCAAAATGCCATTAATAATCATCTGTACCCCATGACTACTTCTACTTAGATCACAAGTTGTAAACTTTTTAAATTTGATGATATGCCATGAAAATCACTCAATGAAATCGTATACTCCTTAGTAATATTTAAGAGCAATAATAGATTCACAGATATTTTCAGGTTGAAATAAACTTTAGACTATCTTGTCTGACTTTCTAGCAATGCTTCCATAATCTCTTTAGATGACTGAGTCCTTTCCTGACCCATCAGTCACTTACATCAAAATCTCCAGTGCCCCCAAACAGCATCCTTTCTAAAACGACGGCTGAAAATGTTAACTGTAAGAAGCCTTTCAGATGTGTGAATTTTTTGCTTTTGTTTGTTTTTCTCCTTAGAAGAACCCAAGGCTTGGAATCCATTTAAGATTTTCCCCATCTTTTCATACCACTAACATGACCAGGTCAGGTCCAAATGCTTATCTGTGGTTTACATAAGGTCCTTAAAGACTCAAGCAAGAAAACACTAATGAATGAACTTGGGATGTAGTTCAGGACAGTTTAGTGGCAATAGTGCTTGCTGGACAAGCCCTAAGACCTAAATTTGATCTTCAGCACCCCTGTAAATAAAAAAAAGAAAGAATGAAGAAAGACAAAAGAAAGGCCAGATAAGTGGTACAGGCTTGTAATCATCCCAGTGTCCAGTGCAGAAGAAGACGGGGGGTGGGGGAGAAGCCCTGGGTGTCATCTGCCTAGTCTGTTTGGTGAAACTTGGACTTCAATATGCATGCATGCGCACACGCACACATATGTACACTCTTTCATACACCTCTGCACTCAGAGGTGTGAATATATATATGCATGCGCACACACTTAAAGGAGATATTGATGAAAATGATAATACACTTAAAACATTACATGGATTGTAAGTGTATTTCTCCCATTTTTAATAGTTAAAAACATGCAGTTGCTTTGCCCCAAGTTCTATCCCTAAGATGGGACCGCCCCCGAGCTCTGCAGTATCCCTTATAAATTGGAGAATGCATAATTATTTTCTTATCGGCAGGTCTCTCGGATGCATGCCAAGCTTTGAAGGTCTCCTGCTTTTGAAAAAAAATAGGATAGCATATGGAACTAAAGAGAGTAACAGCAAAATAGAGTAGAAAATAAAATAGGAGCGCTTGGTCCTTAATCTGCACTGCAGCCTGCTAATTATTGTTCCTTCCAAGATGCAAGAGTTTTATTTGTGCTAATGTCCATGCGTTTACAACAAGTAAGGCTTAATGAACTGTAGCATATGGGGATTATCTTAGGGGGAAAACTGTCTTTTAAAGTAGTAAATGACCAGAAGAGTAAGGGATATATACTGATTTATTTTTCACTAATTGCATAACTGATTAGGCACCAGTAGTGCCCCTTAAATCATTGCCTTTTGCTCTTCATTAACTGCAAGAAAGGGAAATTTGAAATATTACCTGAAAGGAAATTGAAGACTTATCTGTGCTTTTTCTTTCCTCCCTTGCTTCCTTCCATTTCCCTCTCTCCATTCCTCTCTTCCTCTGTCCCTTCCTCCTTTCTTTTCTTTTTTCTTTTTTTTTTCTTTTCTTTTTTGTCTTTTGGTTGAGACAGAGAGTAGCAAGGTTTTGATATGTAGCCCAGGCAAGCCTGGGACTCAAGGTCCTCCTGCCTTGGCCTTCCAAGTTCTAAGCATATAGTCACATTATCTGTGCCTTTACATTATTTATGGCTCCACTGACACTGTCCTTCTAGTGATATGAAAAGCTATAATGAGCCCTGAATATAATAAGTAACATAAGACAACTGGCTTTATTGGTCATTATTATATAACAACATAATATGGTTGTTATTTTGTTGTTACTTGTGGGTACTCCCTATTTGTATTCATCCTGAAAGTCAACTCTAAAACAAGGGGTTGATAAATTATTTGCATAGATGACCAGTCCTTTAATAATGGGTAGAATGACTATCAGGTTAGATGTTTGAGTCTATTGAGTCCATGTTGTTAGCTCTTCTGGGCAAAGGGTAGGCAGTGGTCAGAATCAGCTGTGTTAGCTCTTTAGCTTCCTTTGGTTTGGTAACTCCAAGATAACAGAAGGGAGAGCTGTCGCCTCATCTTCAGTTATGCGTGCTCTCACCTTCAGCAAGGCGTTTGGTTCTTCTTTTACTTCCCCTGAAATCTCTGACAATTCTTGGATGACTCTAGGTAGACCCGTTCTGAAAAACAGCTTTGCCATTCAGGATTCTTAAAATGTGTCCAAAGGCGAAGAGAAAGCAAGTAAGATGCTTGCTAGTGACAAATTTCAAAAACTTACTGTTTTCTATGATTCTGAAGTGATTATGCTCTGAGTTGGCTGAAGCCAGACTGTCAGATTTTAATAAGGTAAATAGAAGTGAACAATTCTGGGAAAGAAACTGTCAAGTCGAAAATCAAAATGGAGCTCTGTGTTTTCTGCAGAGAAAACTGTCATTCAAATTTCCAGGAGCATCAATGAAACTTATTGGGAAGGAAAGATCATTGGAGACTCTCCAGTGTTTTATAAAATACAATAAAACCTTATTTTATTTTAATTCTTTCAGCTCCGCAACTAAGGTCTAGGATTCCCCTTGGCCCTTTTCCCAATTGAGGGGGCAAGGGTTTATTTCTGTGCACAAACTCAGATTAGAATTTTTCACCCAGGAATCTTTGTCAGTAGAGTCACACAGATTTTTTTTATTTCTGAAGAGATCGTGGAGACCAAATAATCCTGCAGAAAAGAAGCCAGCATCCAGCTAGCATCACAGTGTACTGGTCTTGCATGCCCAGCCTATGTATACAAAAATTGGTCTACATTCTCTGGATGCTGAAGAGTCTGATTTTTATGAGAGATGGCTGAATTCAAAAACGGGAGAAAAGGGAGATAATAATGACTAACGCAGTATGTGGAAGAGAAAACAAACCCAAACGTTGGACGTTTTACACTGAATTAATTCAAAGTTTTATTATTAGCTAGACTCACTTTTGACCATGGGGTTCAGCTTGCCTTTAATCTCACCAGCCTCAATTACTCAAAACAAAAGGAGCCTGGTTCTATGTGCGCGTGTGCGTGCGTGCATACGTGCCTGCGAATATGTGTGTGTGTTTCTACATTCTTCACATTTTCATATTTTGAGTCCATATAAAAGGGAGATCTGAAGGCATGAGTGGGTTTTGCGGGCTAAGAGAATGGTGAATTTCTTCTCTACATGATATGTTTAGCATTGGAAGTCTGCTAAACAAAATGTGAAGAGCTGCCCACAAGGTTGTAAATCCCCAGTCTACAAGGAAGAAGGGAGAAACAGGGCGAGCGACTGAAGTGTGTGTGTGGCTGCAATGTTTGTGGGTTTGAAGAGAAGCGAGAGCTGACTGAAGCAGAGAAGGAGGGGGTGGCTGGTGTGATTTGTTTGGTGTTCCGAGCCAATAGAAATCCCAGTCTGTGATAATATCCCCACGCTGCGCCGCGCCGAGAGGACTCAGTGCTGTCTCCAGCTCCTTCCACATCTGCAGGCGCGGCCGGGACGCGCTCCGCCCTCTGCGCGCTCCGCTAGGCTCAGCTAGCTCTGCACACACCCGCGCCGCTTCCCGGGTCTCCTGCGGAACCAGGCTGCGGCCGCCCCAGGCGATCCTGTGCACACCCCGCTGTGGTTCCTGTCTTTCACACAGAGGAGAGCAACAGGAAGACGCACCAGGGACTCCACGAGGAGACTTCCATCCAGTCATTGCAGGTAAGTGACTTGTCATGAGTGATCTGACGCGCACAGGTTTCTGCCTTTTGCCTTCCCAAGGCAACTAAGGTGGATTCACGTCTGTCTGTGGGGCTGGTATGCAGAGAAGCTCGAAGTGAATGCCCTTCTGAGTTCTCCCGGGTAGTTAGTCACGTTGTTTGTGTATGGCTGTGACTGCCAGGTAGATTAACCTACTGGATTCTGCGTAGGTGGAAAGCAGAGACCTTTAAACTCCACCGTGATCTTTCTTTGTAAAATAACACCAGTACCTACGAATTGTCGTGCGGGTACCCCTTGATGATTTCCATTACACTGACGGTGACCCATCGCAAGTCAAGCATCATGGACTTGTTTAGGAAGCAGGTTTTGCATATTGTTCACCTACCTATTACGTTAATGTGCTCCCTCTGATTAGGAAGCCAAAGCTCACTTGGGCATGGTCTTGATTTCTTACGCATGTGACCAAGTAGATATAGCCTCACGGTTGAGCTATCACTGTGCCTTTAGACTTTCTGAAGGAGAAAAGGAAAGAAACAAGGCAGCAATTTTAAAATGAACTTGAATTATTCTTACCTTTATTGATGAATTAAAAGCAAGTTTGTCTTTCAGAACCCTTGACAGGATGAGTTCCAAACTCTCTCAATTTTGGTTAAAAAAAAATACGATTTGACCCCAGCACTCAAGAGACTGAGGCAGGAGGATTGTGAGTTCCAGGCCAGCCTGGACTGAACAGTTGAAAATATGAATTGGAGAACTTTACACTAAATATAACCGTTTCCAGGCAATGCCAGTTCATAGTTCGGTTTTATTTAATCGTCAAACTTATAGATTTCTCCCTGTCTATTTTTGAGGTGAAAATTTTGTGTGGGCAGGGGAGACGACAAAGCAGCTATTTTCCTGGGGTTTTGCCATCTTTGATTCACAATTTTGAAGTTGGTTATGTAATTTTTTCCCATGTTGATTACTTATGATTAAATTAACATTGCTTAATCAGTTCCATCTTCCCGGAAAAGCCAAAGGGACTGAGTAACTCTGATAAAGGGCTCGTCCTGTTTGGGACAATCCTCAAGGACTGATCTTCGTGGCCCGCATCCTCTGTAAGAAGTGCTTTTCTTGGTGTGGAGAACATACAGAGTAGGGATCTCTTCCGGATGGCATGCAGGTACAGGTAACGAGGTACATTATCTGAACGGCAGGCGCTTTTCCGAGCCCGTTCCTAATACTTCCTAGTAGTGGTGACCCATTCATTGGCAGTTAATAGTTGGCTTGTCCCTCAGTGGCACCTAAGTTTCAGCACTGTCCTTATCCCAAATCTTGTGCCTGGCCAAGCAAGATAAGGAAGTTATAGGAAAGCTACTCACTTTGCATATCACCATGGAGAATGTAAGTGACCCACTTTCTTTTAATCAGATGAATGTGTTCTTTCGTCATTAAGAAGAATGCATGCGTAGCTCTACCATAGATGTAGGAAAATATCACATTTTTGCCCTTTGACTAAAGTGAACGATCGCACAGGGCATTTTTTTTAAAAAAAGGTCATGACAAGCAGTAGATGTGCTGAGTATTGGTGTGGTGTGTGTGTGTGTGTGTGTGTGTGTGTGTGTGTGTGTGTGTGTATGGGGTGCATATGTGGAGATCGGAGGAAAACTCTAGGCAATCACTTCTTTCCTTTCACAGTGGGATCCTGAGCTCAACCTCAGGCCATCAGATCAGCATAGCTGAGCCAGCCTACAGGCCTGGCAGCTTTATGAGGAGCCTTTGTCTGTCTTCTATAGCTCATTTCTTCTCGCCAGTGAACTCTAAAGCCATACTGGGTGTGTTGGTATTGACTAAATGAGAATCTGAACACATTCACTTTGTATAGTCTGATACATTTGTGGCTTCTCAAATATAGGTATATTTATGGAGAAAGGCAGGGTTCTATAGGCATATATATGTACACACAGTGCTTTGATTATCTGCTGTTTACTGCTACCAGTTTTATGGAGAGAGGTAGTCCAATGTTCGTTCTCGCGAAGTCTCACAATAGCTAGCCAGAGCTCTAGCTTTCCTCACACCATGTACAGCGTAACTTAAACACATTCTAGGCATTTAAATATTTTAAAATAACTCTAGCTCTAGCTGTTTTAAAATAACTAATAGCTCTCTTCTGATTCAAGAGAACAGTGCCGAATCCCGAGTCGAGTCCTGGGTTCTATGGATATGAGATGACTGCTCTGCCTGGGTGAAGGGCGAACTATGAGACACTGCTGTCTTCCAGGCACTCTGTAGCCCGGGCCAGCCACGTTTGTGCTCCCGAGCTGTGACAACATATGTGCCAGGTGGCAGGCAAGGGCTCAGCGTTAGACCCTGTTAAGCAGTTAGAAGACCAGTAATGAATTATTTCAGCCCACGAAAATGTGCCCGGTATTGGGCTTCTGACAAGTCCCACAAAGGACTAGCATGTAAGATGAATTGCTTAGAAGAGGAAGACATGTAATTATAAATTTGATCTATGGTGGCATCTGCTTCTTCAATTACCTGCGTCTCCTCCTATCACATGACTCTCTTGTCTCTAAGAACCGTACACATGGACTTAATAATGTGTAAAACCAAACCTGCTCACATATCGGGCTAAAAAAAAAAAAAGATATGGTTCTTAGACCATTCATTGCAACACTAACCCACCAATTTGGCATATTTGCCATTGCCACCACGTCTAGTAGGAAAATTCCCTTGGCGGTCCAGCACATCAGCAGGACCAGCCCTTGGTGGGGGATTAATTTGCAGAGATGAGTCCCAGAGCCATGTGGGAGTTAAGAGGGTGGAGAAGGAGATGTTTCATGCAGCAAGAATGTGAAGTGGGATTTTGTGATGGTGGGCAGCCTCCAATGAGAACCAGGAGTCGGAGGGGAAATGAGTCTGTTTCCTCTGGTTAGCCTCAAGGATATACATGTGATGAGATGCCCTGAACATTTTCAGCACTCTTTTCTGTGTTCCCAGGTACTCCACAGGTGTGGGGTTGAAATAAATGCGGTTGATGTGCTGACAAGCCTGGGTATAGACGCCAGAAGGGGGCAGCATGCAAACTCAAAAATAAATGACACCTCCATGCGCTTACACCAATTTCCCGGTGGCTACAGAATTTCATTAGAGCTTCTGTAGCCTCCCCCCTCTGGAAAACACAGTCTCCAGTCTCCTGAAGAGATAGCTCACCCAGAGGGGTTGTTTCTAGTTTTGCTTCAGAATTGAAATTGCCTGACCTAAGGAGAGCAGCAAGCTATGATTAGTGAGCTCAACTTCTGCTTCTTTTAGCTAGCTTCACCTGTTGACTCCACTCAAGTGATCCTTACGCTTTTAGGAGGTGGAAGAACGGGAAGCCAAATGCAGGGAAGAGTGGAAGAGAAAGAGCGGGGGTTCCTTGACGCTTCACCAAGAATAATATCTGTTTTTGTTTGTTTTTGCTGCTGCTTCATCAGCAGGGCCAAACATTATTGTAAGCATGTCTCAAGTGTAAGTTCAAGGCCTCTGCATAATCAGTAACACTTTGGGGATTGGAGCTTTTAAAAGCAGAGATGTGAAATAAGTTGTTTCAGTGATAGCCGGAGTCTAAGACCTGCTAACCAGAGTCAGGCATCTATCTCTAAGAGCTCACAGATGATTAAATCTAGTCCTTCCCAACTATATTCGGATTCCTGGCTACGGGGATTTATTGCTGGCTTTATCTTCAGAGAAGACTCTCAGAGTACACGCTCTAAATTTTCACAGAAGAAAGAATGCCTTGCTCTTACAGAGGGTAACTGGCACTGGTGAATTCTAAGGAGCCAGGTGGCCTCACTAGGTGTCAGTTAGCCGTTTAGAAGTGTTAGTCTGGGCAGATCATGTCTCTCTCCCCTCTTTGGTTCATCCACCATACAGCTCACTATTGTATGTGAGGGCTTGAGGAGAGGCTCAGACTGGGGCTTTGGAACCCACTCTGGAGAACACAGAGCCTTCTCCTCCTGGGAAAGTTATTTGTCCCTGTGAGTGAGAAGGTCTGGGGGCCACTGGGCTAGGGATAGATGCCTCGGAGAAAAGAAAGCAAGGTAGTTTTGTCAGGAAAACATGACTTCAAGCCCACGAGGTAGATTACAGGAGTCTCAGGGAGCTGCCCATGTGTGCATGAATGAGGCCTTGAAAGCATTTAGATCTAGGTTTTTCTAGGGCCACTGTACTCTGCTAGATGTTTGGTGCCCTTGAATCAAAGAAAAGAGGGTTTCAAGGACAAAAGTGAAGATTCCTCAGTGTCTGGGGGAAGAGTGAGGTCACTGTGTGTCTCCACCCTCCCCCGTATAAAGCTGCTTTGGTTTCTGTCACACTCCTACCTACTGTCTAGAACTGTGTGTGGTGCCTGGATGCTGGAGGAGCTCTGTGGGAGGGCAGAGATTTATTTGGGGTCTTCATGGAAGCAAGTACACTGCTGTAAGAATAGGGTATAGCATGGGAGAGAGTAATGACCAACCCAGAGAAGACTGGGAAATAGGATAAGATTTATTGCCTCTCATCCAAGACCCAGAGCTTTTCAGTTTATGGTGGCTTAGCACCCCTCACCCTCAATTCTTTTCAGATAATCAAATAAACTATAGTCCATCTCTGTATCTTTTTTTAAAAGATGACATTGAAATTTAAAAAACAAAAACTTATAGTAAGAACATTTTGGTTAGTATAATAGCCCTAGTAAGAGGACATATTTGTGGAAACAGTTCACTAAAAAGCTTTTTTTCCCCTGATTTTTTCATGCAAGGGAATTAGAAATGAAGGGAATGCATAGCTTTAGGGAAATTCTCTAGAGGGGGAGGTTTTGAGGAACATGAGGCCAAGAACACAAATACTCTGAGCAAACATGATTCTCACGATGTGGGCTCATGCACACTCCAGCACACCATTCTCCTCTATTGTAATTTCTTCAGTACCAGAGCAGGTGGGAGGGAAGACATTGGTCGGGCGGCCTCCTGACCAGTTCATGTGAAATGCTAAGTTGG